TTAAATAAATGGGAAGATATAGTACATCTTCCAAGGCTACCAACCAATGAAAATCAATCTTTCTATAGATAAGTAACTTAAAAGTATAAATTCAAATAACATCAAAATCAACTGTTGAAATCTAGATTTCCTGCTTGATTTAAATCATTATTTTAAATGATTTATTTAATCAAACCAGTTGCAAAGTCTCTCACTTGCTCTACTGTAACTGTGCAGTTACTTCTGATTTGCAAATGGAAGTGAGAAGAAGTGCTCTCTATTAGACTGCGGAAAGGAGCAGAGTCAGAGACAGGAACAGTGCTTAGCTTCTAGTCCTCGGGAATTCAAATCTAATGACTGTCCGTAAGCACACTTCATTTCAGCACAGTTGCTGTGATGATTGTCACTCATAGTTTTACAGACTACATAAGGCTTAACAGAAAACCACCACAATGCCCCCCGATGCCCCTCACGTGGTTCCGTCCCGGTGCGGAATAAGTTTTGTTGCGTGCACCGCGGCCGGGGCGGATGTGCACCACCCGGGCGCGTGGTGCCGCCCCCGCAGGGCGGCCCAGCCCGGGGCCGGCAGAGAGCCGGGCCCCCGGCTAACCCATGAGCGTCACCGCCTGAGAGTGGGGCTGGACATCCCTGCCTGAGCCCGGTCCCGCACTGTGCCCAAGGGGTGGCGCTGTGCAGGGGCTGTGTCGCGCACACTTCAGTCTGCACATGGACTTAACGCTAGCGGGAGCCTTGGGCTCGTCCCTCCCCGTTCTGGCCCGCGGGGATTAGCAGCTGGAGCCCCCCACTGGACGCCAGGGAGGGGACGATCAGGTTTCCCCAGCTGGGATGTGTTTTTCATGGCCCTGAATTTGGTGGAGTCCTAGTTGCAGGGTGTTGGCCGACCCTACAGCCAGCAGGCTGCATTAGCAGGGGAGCTCTGGCTGGTTATTCTGGGATGTCGCTGGAGATGCCCACCACCAATCCTAGCCAGCCATGCTCTGCTCTGCGAGGGTGGAGGTGGTTCAACGCTTTGACCAAAGGGGGGTCTTTAATCTTCCTTTGTTCTGAACTAGGGATGTTAAAATGCGGGTACACTGAAAATTGTAGTGGTTACATGTAGCGTGGGGTGGCAGCCAGCTCCCCACCTGCCATCCTGCTCTCTGTGAAGCCCACGTAACCATTTGACCAGCTACAGTCTTATAACCCTGTTCTGAACCCACACTTGCCGGGACTGTCAAACCCTTCCGATGGACCAGCCAGACCTTCCCCAGTGTTACCTTGTGCCCAAGAGGATAAAATGTACCTAGTAACGCCTGGAAAACACTGACTCTAAACAGCTGTAGTACAGTCACTCTTAGGGGAATTATTACACTTGCTTGGCTGTCCTCCAGGACTTACTGACCCCAATTTGGCAATTATTTCTTCACTACGCCCAGTGATTGCAGGCCCAGGAGGATACACACCGAATCTGTTTTTTCAGTGTTTCTTTGGAGTATGTAATTGCCTGAAAGCAAAATAATGGTGGTCTAGGAATTTGGGGTGGAGGTTGGGGGCTGAGTTCTGCGGCCTGTGTTATGCAGGAGGTCAGAGTAGATCCGTGGTGGGCAACCTGCAGGCCGAGGGCCACATGCAGCTCAACACGGTTCTATGTGTGTGTCACAAGGCCTTCTGTTTACCTTTGCTCATGCTGTGGGTTGCCTGATTCCACTGGTTTCCATCTACATCGTTTCGTTCCTACCAGTTTTACTTCCGTGACACACACGTAAAGCAAGGGCGCGAGGTGCGAGTTGACCATGCTCCCCCACTGCGGTAGGAGTGCGGGAAGCTCCAGAAGGATGCACTATTGTCTGCCTCTTTCGTATTCGCAGGCCTGGCTAGCTGTGAGGCTGCGACGCTCTGCCATTTGCTGGCTCCGCTTTGCTTTTTAGCACGGCCATTCCAGAGAGGAAACTCGATGGAGCTGTGAATTCGGAAGAGAGCCCTCTCCCATCTTGGCTACTGTAATCTTGAGGGCCACTCGTGCGGCCTGATCACTAGCCTAAGTTGCCCACTACTGCATCACAAAGATCACTTCCAGCCTTGGAATTAGGAAGCTATACATTTAAAAAAAAATGTTGGCCGTGCTCCCGTAGCTGTCTGAAGACACACACAATCCGCAAACAAGCCTCATTTGTCAGACACTCAGCTCAGGGCCAGGTTTTCCTTGGACAAATTGCCTTTGAAATTTTTAATGTTCTTACATTCCCAGCATAACAGCACAACGAGTCATCACGTTTTGGCTCACAATGTAGCTGAGTCAAGGTTGCTGAGAGAACTGAACCTTAACTGTAAACGTTGCTGGTTTGGGGATTTCATACAATGGGAAGGTCAGGGTGACCCCGGTGTTTTGCTTTTCCGAAGTGTGGGTTTCAGGAGACTGTAGGCAGAGTGGAAGCCACAAAACTGTCATGCCCCATTTGGATAGTTGCAGAATCAGTAATTAGGGGCTTATGGAAAGCCCCATTTGAGCTGATCTCCTATATACCGTTGGGGGGGTGACGGTGCGTTGGGGCAGGCAGCCTCAGACCCCTTGGGGTAGGGGCACACAGGCCCCCGAACCCTCAGTACTCAGTTTAGTCTGTTCTCTTCATGTTTGCCCAGCCAAGCCTGCCCCTCTCTCAACTGTGGGTCACTCCCTCCCCCCAGGTAGCCACACCCCCTCCTTTGTTTAAACTCCTTCCCCTGGCCAGGTGAGGCCTTGCTAGCCATGGCCTACCTGCCTGCCCTCAGAGACACTCCCCGCCCCCGCTCGGCAGTGCTTACAGACACCGGCCAGTAGGGGTCACCCACCGCACAACACAGCACCCAGTGACTGCCCAAGCAGAGCCACAAGAGCGTACAGCCCCGTGTACAGCCCCCCACTGCGTCACAGGGGCAACGATTCCTGAAAGGTGAGAGCCGGGGGGAGGGGGATAGGAAATGCTCCGCTCTCTGGCACCCTCTGGTGCTAGTGAAAAGATGCCCCCGAGAAGCTGGGTTTATAAGAACATACGGTTTGAAAACCCCCTTGCACTCAGCTGTGGCTTTTCCCACCCGTCGCATCTGTTCACGTGGGGTAAAGCCTCCTTGGAAATAGCTCTAGTTCCGTCTCTGCTTTGCCACCGGTCCCAGCCGTTTCTTTTTCTCTTGCAGGGGCAGCTGCCTCACGGATGTAAGTATGCCTCCTGCCCTCTTAAAACCAGCCTTTTCCAGGGCCCCCGCCCCAGACAACGCCAGGTGTGCTGACGGCACATTCCTAGAGAGCCAGCCCCTCGGGTGATGGTTAGTCCCGCTGGCAGTGCGCTGAGCATTGGTACGCCGCAGGGTGGGCTCTGCTGCCTCCCTTGGGCATGGAGGGAGCCAAGTGTCCCTTTGGGGTGCTGTAAAAAAACAGGACCGGGACCCTCAGACTCCCTGCTCTAGGATCCTTTTCTTAAAGGGGGGGTTATGAAATTGTCCTCTGCTGTAGCCCTGTCCCGCTGTAATCACCCATCTCCCGCCCTTGTCCAATACACACTGCGCTGCCGGATACGCAGATCGCACACTAGCCCCGTCCCCTGTTGCTCATTCTGAACAATGGGTCCAGTCTCCTGCCTTTCTGAACATCCGTGAAATCAGATGGAAGAGTCCAGGAGCTTTGCAGCCTCTGGTCCCTACAAGTGAAGGCGCACTATCCTAGAACAGCTGAAAGGTCACTTGGGGGTCTTCAGAATACCTCTCTGCCATCCTGAGCACTTGGGGACTAACTTAGCGTCTGTCCACACCGCGGCTGGGAGCCTGCTTCCTCGCCTGGGTGGACACGCGTGCCAGCTCGCTAGAAGGGCTGCGTGGCCATAAGGACTCAGGCTAGCAACCCGAGTACTAACCTTCCCAACATACTCAGAGCACAGATCCCCTTCGTAGGTGGGATGGGGAGGTGGAAAGAGCTGAGCCCTTCGTGTGAGTATTGGTGGGGGCTCTTCCAGCGTCCCGGTACCATGTTCCTGGGCATGGTGGGAGGAGATGGAAGAGATACTGGCTGCACAGTGCCTGGGGACTGAGAGAGAAGTAGCGGGATGCAGGAAACTTTCCCTGTGTAAGCCTTAGACTGACACTTGATACGCTAAGGGGTTTGTCACTCACCTACCCATGCAAGGGGCTCTGTGAAGGAGCTCACGATGACAGACGAACGTCTTTAGAAAGAGGCCGGCTGTTCACTGCATCTTTCTCTGTCCAGATTTCGATATGCCGGGAGCTGCCAAACATCGAAGTGATCACGTTCAGGTGGGTGTCAGGCTGCCAGCTGCGAGTGGCTGCTGTTCCTGACGGTGCGTTGGGGCAGGCAGCCTCAGACCCCTTGGGGTAGGGGCACACAGGCCCCCGAACCCTCAGTACTCAGTTTAGTCTGTTCTCTTCATGTTTGCCCAGCCAAGCCTGCCCCTCTCTCAACTGTGGGTCACTCCCTCCCCCCAGGTAGCCACACCCCCTCCTTTGTTTAAACTCCTTCCCCTGGCCAGGTGAGGCCTTGCTAGCCATGGCCTACCTGCCTGCCCTCAGAGACACTCCCCGCCCCCGCTCGGCAGTGCTTACAGACACCGGCCAGTAGGGGTCACCCACCGCACAACACAGCACCCAGTGACTGCCCAAGCAGAGCCACAAGAGCGTACAGCCCCGTGTACAGCCCCCCACTGTGTCACAGGGGCAACGATTCCTGAAAGGTGAGAGCCGGGGGGAGGGGGATAGGAAATGCTCCGCTCTCTGGCACCCTCTGGTGCTAGTGAAAAGATGCCCCCGAGAAGCTGGGTTTATAAGAACATACGGTTTGAAAACCCCCTTGCACTCAGCTGTGGCTTTTCCCACCCGTCGCATCTGTTCACGTGGGGTAAAGCCTCCTTGGAAATAGCTCTAGTTCCGTCTCTGCTTTGCCACCGGTCCCAGCCGTTTCTTTTTCTCTTGCAGGGGCAGCTGCCTCACGGATGTAAGTATGCCTCCTGCCCTCTTAAAACCAGCCTTTTCCAGGGCCCCCGCCCCAGACAACGCCAGGTGTGCTGACGGCACATTCCTAGAGAGCCAGCCCCTCGGGTGATGGTTAGTCCCGCTGGCAGTGCGCTGAGCATTGGTACGCCGCAGGGTGGGCTCTGCTGCCTCCCTTGGGCATGGAGGGAGCCAAGTGTCCCTTTGGGGTGCTGTAAAAAAACAGGACCGGGACCCTCAGACTCCCTGCTCTAGGATCCTTTTCTTAAAGGGGGGGTTATGAAATTGTCCTCTGCTGTAGCCCTGTCCCGCTGTAATCACCCATCTCCCGCCCTTGTCCAATACACACTGCGCTGCCGGATACGCAGATCGCACACTAGCCCCGTCCCCTGTTGCTCATTCTGAACAATGGGTCCAGTCTCCTGCCTTTCTGAACATCCGTGAAATCAGATGGAAGAGTCCAGGAGCTTTGCAGCCTCTGGTCCCTACAAGTGAAGGCGCACTATCCTAGAACGGCTGAAAGGTCACTCGGGGGTCTTCAGAATACCTCTCTGCCGTCCTGAGCACTTGGGGACTAACTTAGCGTCTGTCCACACCGCAACTGGGAGCCTGCTTCCTCGCCTGGGTGGACACGCGTGCCAGCTCGCTAGAAGGGCTGCGTGGCCATAAGGACTCAGGCTAGCAACCCGAGTACTAACCTTCCCAACATACTCAGAGCACAGATCCCCTTCGTAGGTGGGATGGGGAGGTGGAAAGAGCTGAGCCCTTCGTGTGAGTATTGGTGGGGGCTCTTCCAGCGTCCCGGTACCATGTTCCTGGGCATGGTGGGAGGAGATGGAAGAGATACTGGCTGCACAGTGCCTGGGGACTGAGAGAGAAGTAGCGGGATGCAGGAAACTTTCCCTGTGTAAGCCTTAGACTGACACTTGATACGCTAAGGGGTTTGTCACTCACCTACCCATGCAAGGGGCTCTGTGAAGGAGCTCACGATGACAGACGAACGTCTTTAGAAAGAGGCCGGCTGTTCACTGCATCTTTCTCTGTCCAGATTTCGATATGCCGGGAGCTGCCAAACATCGAAGTGATCACGTTCAGGTGGGTGTCAGGCTGCCAGCTGCGAGTG